GCTGTCGCATGCTGCCCCCGTGGCGTATACAGTGTGGATTAACTTCTGCCATTTCTAGAACTCCGTTCCAAGCAGCGCTCATTTCTATTCGTTCAGTAGTAGGAAGCCTCACATTTCAAACAAGACTTCTTGAAGGAGACAATTTTTCTAATGTAAAATTTATTCAGCAAATATTTGAAGATCTAATATTTTCCAGACACCGTCCAGGGATACAGTAGTAAACAAAACAGTCTTTGCTTCTTGGAACTGCAGTTTGAGTCAAAAAATAAATCTTGTACTTATCACAAATTCCAACTCCTTTACAAAGTCCTCTAGTTATGTTTAAATTCACTGAGAGCCAAGGCCCCCATTATCGGGGAGCAGGTGGCTTGTTTTTCTCAGAGATCTTGATCACACGAGTAAATGTGAACAAGATTGGCTGTGCAGTGTAACAACCATCATCATCATGCGGTGTCCAGGGTGATTTTGCATCGTATGAGCCTGACACCTGTGCTTCTCCTGTGTGTACGTTCACACCGTAGAAATCTTTGCGGCAGGTATTTGCTGAGTGCCCGGCAGAAGCCAGGCACTGGCCCAGTCACACAGGGTACAGTGGTGAGCCAAGCCACCCGGGCTCCGTCCTGGGGCTGCGAAACAAGTACATGCATTAGAAGCAGCGACACATCTGATGCCGGAGTAGCCCAGTGCTCTCTCTTCAGAGAAAGCTCATCATTAATTCAGGAATTTGAAATTTGCCCTGAGCCTAAGCGATGTAGGACAAAGGCAATTTCTTCACCCACTGAAGGCTCAGTAATTGAATCTGCAGAGATAAACTGGGCAGATGAGCAGGGGCAAAAGCTTGTGAATGTGTTGCACACATGGGGATGTGACGAAAGTGAGAAATCGTGAGCCAGTGTTTAGGAGCTGAACTCCCTCTGCATAGAGAGGAGGGAAGTGCAAGGATTTAGGAATTGGGACAGCAAGTCGTCTTTAGGGGAGATGAATGGGCCTAAGGGGTGGCAAGCTGAGGAAGGCTGACCTCCGGTCTCTGTGCTGATGAAAACTCTAGAACTCGGTCGCCCTCCCTCCCTGTGATGTGCACTTGTCTCCCCCGCAGTGAGATTTCTAGGGAAGGCTTCGCAGCCCAGCGAGCATCTCCTGGAGGACTGGAGGGCCTGGCATCAGGTAGATAGGAGACTTTGATGCCTGAGCGCTTTCTGGTAAACCCAGAAGCCCGTACCATTCTTTGGGGCACAGCTGGCCATAGCAGGCTAACCCCCTGCAAAGATCGGGATAAGAGGGGTGCAGAGGCTTGATGAAGGGCCGGAGAGGTGGCCCTTTGTTGAGAAAGAGAGAGTGGTGTGTGAGGCAAATATGCAGTCCCTGCCATGGGTTGCATCAGATCAGGCAGGGCTTATTCAGAGTAAGTCTTGTGCATTGAAATCATCCAGGTAGAGCGGAGACATGTTATAAATGAACAGAGCTGGTGCACCTTGAGCATGCGCTCTTCATCCCATTCCAGTGCAGAAATGGGAAGGCAAGAGAGAGGAAAGAAAGTAACCCGGTGCAAGATGTTCTACTCAGACACACACAGGAGTGAGTGTGAAGCGGGAGATGTGTACCTCCTTTCCCCACAGCTGTCCAAGGTCTGGCCGAGATCCTTCCAAGGTGAGCCCCACACATAGAGATAAACATCTTTCGTCAAACATGGCTACTAAATATTTTAATGGTAAGTTTTAAGAAAGGAAATTGTGTATATTTTTTTAAATTCCTACAATGATGTATGGAAAATACATTTGGAGCGCGAGTTAGTGATATAGCAGAGAGATGGTTAGAAGACTTTGTCCTTGGTGCAAATCAGCAGTATAAGGCTGTGTGGGGAGGGTGAGGAGTTCCCAGCAGAGTTGCCATGACTGTGCTTGGTTTAACCTGGGAAAATAAAGAGAGAAACCAGGACCATTCCTGTCTTTTAGCTTGGTGAACGATGTAGTTTGCAGACATGAGAAGGACGGGCAGAAAAATCTTAACAGACATCAAAGCAGAGCTTTGATTGCAGCTCCTGGGAGAAAGATCTGAAGATAAAGATTTGAGCGTCCCAGACCTCTGGGATTTATGACTCTGACCTTAGAGGGAGAACAGGCTGCGTGGGTAGGTGTTTTCTCTTCACCAGTGCAATTCCCAGCACACAGGATTTGCAGGGCAGATGCCAGAAGTCAGAAGGCTCCTCCTGGGGAGTGCTTCCCCCACAGTCTGCAGTGGACCACAGTTCCGTGGAAAAGGTGCCCACTCAGGCTTTGATGTCCACTGTGGACTGTACCTGCATCAGCCCCCTTACGGTTCCAGTCCAAGCTTTCAACTCATTTGAATAATTTTTTTGTATTATCTCTGCCTAGAAACTCTAGTATTATTGCAGAGCTAGACATGTAGATAGATAGAAGACAGAGAGATAGACAGATAGATGACAGGATAGGGTATGGAGTATATACCCATGCTCTCTGTATTACATACATGGGGGAGAAACGTTCTAAACATGTAATTCTTTAAATCACACTTTCAGTTGAGATTTAACACTCTTCATGTATTGCGAATCAAAAGAATTGTCCAAAGATCTTTTGAATCACAGATTCTGACTTCACAGTGCAGGCAAATAAAAAAAACAAAGACACCTGAAACCATAATAGAGGAATTCTTGTAACCGTGATAGTTATTAGTTCTGTTCACCAAATATTCCCAGCTTGCTGCCTCTGGGCTCGTGGTAAAATTACCCTTCGTAGCTATAGTGGAGTGAGACTCTTAGGCACGTTCTCACCAGCAAGTCTTGATTAAAAGTGACACATGCAGCTTCCGAGCCAAAGAACTTTCCTTCCTTCTGCCTCAATGGCCAGCAGGGTCAGTGGCTGCCTCCTCAGCTTAGATCAAGGAATGAGGACACCAGGGAGTGGAGCCCCAGACCCCTGTGCTGGGCACAGTGTGAATGAGAGATGGAATCTTTGCCGTTTGAGGCCCCTGACACGTCAGGGCATTGACTACTTCGTGGAATCCAAGCTGTTCCGACTGGCAGAATACAGGGGCTTCTCTAGATGTAGTATTTTTTTTTTAATATTTGTTTTTTTGAGACAGGGTCTCACTGTATAGTCGAGACTGACCTGGAACTCACTATGTAGCCCAGGCTGGTCTCGAAGTCACAGTGATTCTCCTGCCTCAGCCTTCCGAGTGCTGGGATTACAGGCATGAGCCACCAGGTCTGGCATAGATATAGTATATTCTGAGCACCACCACATTCCTATGTCCTTTTATTTATTTATTTCTATTTATTTTTTTCTCTCTCATTGAGTTTATTGTTACATCCATCATTGGGATCTTGTACCTCTACATGACAGGTCTTGGTTCTCATTTTTTTCCCCTTGTCCCTGCCCTCCCTTCACCCCCTCCTACCCTCCCCATTTACAAGAACTTTATTTCCATTTTTTCATTTTCTCATAATTTTTTTTCTTTTCCCTTATTACCTTTCCCCTACCCTATGTCCTTTTAAAGAACAAGGAGCCACAAACATTGGTAGAAAGTTGATTACCACTGCTGTGAAGTGAACATCGACTTCAAGCTCCCTGCAAGGTTAGAATACACCATCATTTGCCTACATCATTATAGACCCACATGTAACATGTTTCCAAATGTCATAAACTGGAGTACAACTAGAACTTCTGTGCTTATTTCACAAAATTCAATTCAATATTTTATTTAATAAAGAAAAACAGCTTTCTGTCAAGCAGGGAGGAGGGATGTATTATTATTCACAGAGCCATTTAACAAATGCTCTTGTATAAGCTTGCCCTATGCCAGGCAGACAAATGTAGTAAAGCTCTCACTGAAAAGGTTAGCAGAGAAAACACCCAGAGATTTGACATCACCCGCCCCACCTAATGACTTCACTTTCCATTTGACTTCCTTCCCGTCTGTCTGGCTTATCCACTGAACTAGAAAACACTTCTAAAAGGCACTAATCAGGTGGCAGCTGCAGTCTCCACTCCCACAAGTGTGCAGGGATCAACCCTAATGCACACAGTCTGGAAAGGAACCGATGGAATAGCTTTCGGTCATAGGATTTGTGAGATGTTGTGTTCCTTTACCACATATTTAGTGTTGTCTGTCTGTCCATTGTAATGTTACAACCAAATGTCACATGCCGGGTAATTCACAAGCTTTAGAAACATGTCTCCTAGCTTGTGAAGTCTAGGGCCAAAGTACTGGCATTCAGTGCCCGATGAGGACCTTCTGGCTGAATCCTCCCTTGGCAAGAGGTTGTTGCTTCATGGCAGAAGGTAGAAGGGAAACAAGAAGACCTGAGCCAGTTCCCAGCCATGGGTGAGGCACGGACGCATTCCTAAGGGCAGAGCCTTTGTGATTTGGTCTCTTCCCACTTCCCAGCACCCCCACTGTGAGGGTTAAGTTGCAAGGAGAATTGTGAGAGGAACACCATCACTCACACCAGAGCAATATCTTTTTTACTTTTTATTTTTATTAGTAATTATTTGCAGTGCATAATTATCTCACTCATGGTAGAATTGTGCACATACAGTCTCGTGATTCCTTTCCCATTTGCAAAAGATCTGTCTCCCTGTTTCCTATTATGTCTTTTGTTTTGCCCACTATTTCACTGTAAACTGGCGTAGAATGTTACTTAAAGCCGGGCATCAAGGGCTCTCTTGGTGGCCACTCGCTGTGCTGTTTGTCTTTCCCCACCCTTTCTCTGCACATCGTGTCTCCTAGAGCTCATGGCAGTGCACTGTCTGCCTGTACGGTGCTGAGACTGCAGTGAAAGACCATCTGGTGTTTCAGGGTGATGTTGGCAAAGAATCTCCATTTACCTTAGGAATTGCAAAATAAATACTATTTCATTTTTAAAAAGGTGTCTTGCAATGCTGGTGAAGTTATAAAAGTATGGAGCAAGGGAATGGGAGTCTTGGCTTCAAGTTCTAGTTGTCACCTATTGAATAGCTGTATTCCTTGTTCCCCATTTTCAGATCTGTCTCCTTCCCGCTGTCTTGGTTGAAGCCCTCCTAGACTCACCTCCAACACGGCAGCCACCCAAGCTTCCGAGGCATCACTGGGCACGGGTCTCTCAATGAGTCCCCACAGTTTTTAGCTGCAGCTCGAATTGTGAAGTGGCAGGCTGTTAGCAGAACTCAGCTCATGGATGTGTGTGGTTCCTACTGCGTTTTATTCAAAATTAGGTACCAATATTAATTTAAAAATAGAGGCTTCAGGCTTCTCTTGAAACTAGGAAATTACCCCTTCGCATGACTGCTCTCCAGAGAAGACACTCTCCTCACTACAGCCCCTCTCATACTCTCTGCACCTTGCGGGCATTTGAGCACACACTTTTCACACTTGTCCATTGTACCACTCATGAGTCCATATTCCTGCCAAGGCCAGTGGTCCCTGTGGCCTGGAATTCCATCCTTCCTTCCCATCCCTTTATCGCATGCCCCACTTACTTCCGTCAAAGTCCAGGGCATGTGTTGCTCTCTTCCAAGAACTGGCCCGGCCTCCCTCACTGCATACCTGCCCCGCCTAACCCACCTGCGGCTTCTGCGGCAGTGAATTTATCCTGTGTGCTCACATTAGGTTGTAGACTACGCGGGCACAGATACTGTGTGTCTCTGTGTACATCGTGACTGTATCATGATTTGGGCTCTGCCCATCACAGTGTGTGCTGCTTTTTAAATTTTTATTTTTATTAGTCCATGTTTGGGATACATAGTGATCACATCCATCATGGTGAGTTGGAGTCCAGGAATAGCACACCTAGCAGAAGCTGATGTAGGAAGGAGCCACTGTGGCCTCCTCATCAATACAACTTTCACCATTAAATGATTAAATGATCCCCCTGGTGTCTTTGCATTGGAAGATCTGCTTTATACCATTCATTTTCTGAAATCTGGAGTGACAGGCTGTTCTGAACAAATTTTAGCCAAAATTCAGTACATACTCAACAATACTTAAAGAAACTTGGGACCTGTCATACAGTCATGGATGAGGCGCGCGGTGTCCTTAAGTGCCACATAACAGAGACCGTGAGAGCCCAGTCATCTCGAGTGGTGGCATTTCCTACTTGGGTTTGTCTGTTCTCCATGTTATCTAAATGAGCAAGGAATTACTTTTGTAACTACACCAAGACACGAGCTTGAAAAAAACGAGAGCAATTGACAACGATAAAAAGTTTGTGAGCCACTGAAAGTGTCTCCAGCTTATTACTTTGGTATCTGAGTAATAGTTTTGTAACCTGCTGCAGTTGGGACATTTTTCCCACCAGATGCCCTAGGTCATGGAGAATGTTAAAGATACAGTTAGAGAAACAATCCATACTGCTATGTATATTGGAGCTAGACCTAGGACCTTGTGGGCTTCGGATCTCGTTGCTTATTCTGCTACCCACCCAATTTATGAAATGGAGATGTAGAAGGATTACATCTTTTATTTATCTCTACCTCATCAGACCATCTACCACTGTTAGTCCTTCTTTTTTTTTTTTTTTGTACCAGGGATTGTACTCGGGTCCTTGCGTTTGCAAGGCAGGCCACCGAACCGCTGAGCTAAATCCCTGGCCCAGTCCTTCATTTTTGCTACGAGTGAAAGCGAGTATTTTTTAAGGACCAGAAACCAAAATTTCTCTATTTAGAAAAATTGGCACAAACCAGGATATTAAAAACAGGTCCTAAAACTACCATTCTGATGCATCCAAATGGTGTTTTTAAATCCATTTTATTCCACTAATTAATTAAATGTTTACATTCAGTCAGAGTTAGGATTTGGAATTGAACTAAGTGGTCCCGAGTATTGTGATTCTGGCCTTGTTTGGCATCAGAAGGGAGACATTGGGTGAGTGGAGTTCCAATAGCACCACCTTTCTCCTCAGACACGAATGGGCTTGGGAAGCCCTGAGTTTCCAGGTCTGACCTCATCTCCGAGCCGTCTGACTGTGCTCTCGGGACACTCTAAGAGCATCATGGCTTTGTGTGATGTTTTTTACGTTTGTGTATGTCAGGACTTCCCCGTGGTCCTTCTGCCTGTTCATGAACTGTTTACATTGAGAACCCAGTTGGACTTGGAGAGTCTGAAGAAACAGCATGAGATAAGGTGTTTGAAATAAAGGAGAAGAAGAAGGTTCAGGGGCATCAGTGCATCAGTCACTCCCATAACCCCCTACACACCCTCAGCCAAAGATCAAACTCAGAGTTCATAATGCCAAGCAGTCAGGAGGAAGAAAGAGGGTGAGGGGCTTTATCGAAGGAAGAAGCAGTATCACTCATTATTGATGATCTTATGCATGAAGAAATCTAGAAAAGAGGGGCTGCACATAGCATTCTTTTCATTTTGTGTTTAATTGTCAAGATAAAAAGAAAAATCAGTGTGTCCAGTAACAGAACTATAACCAATGTTACCACAGTGCTCTTTAATTTAGAGACTAGGGCATTTTTTAGCCATGTCAAAAAATCATAATATAGTAATGTATTCAAAATGGAAACCTCTCATGATTGTATTGTATGTAACATTTTGTTTAAAAGAATTATAATTTAAGCCAGGCGTGGTGGCACAAACCTATAGTCCCAGCACTCAGGAGGCCTAGGCAAGAGGATTGCTGTGAGTTCAAGACCAGCCTGGGCTATATAATGAGTTCCAATTTAGTCTCAACTACATAGTGAGACCCTGTCTCAAAAAAAAAAAAAAAAGGAATTGTAATTTAAACTGAAATTATTTGTATAGTTGCTTTTAATAAAATAATTCCACATGTAGGGGATTTGGGTTTCTTTTTTTAAGCCAGGATCTGGCTATGTAGTTCAGAGTGGTCTTGAACCCAGGCTGGCCTCAAACTCATGGTGATCCTCCTGCCTCAGCCTCCCCTGTGCTGGTATTATAGGCATGCACACCATGCCTGTCCAGGGATGAATTTTTAAAAATTTGAAAATGTCATAGCTTTGCAACCTCTTATCTGACTTCATTCAAATTCTTTGAATGCATTAAGATTGTTGCTTATTTGCTCTGGAAATCAAGTACAGAAACTTACAGATATAAAAAGATTTGAAATGATCAATTTAATAATTTCAGCCTATAAGCAAATATATTTTCTTGCGATTAAGCCTTTGAGCTATTAAAGTGCCTCCAGTGAAGCATTCAATTACACGCGAGGCTGTGCCAGTAACTAAATCTCAGTAGCTAGATTTCAATATCAAAATGTTTTTTTGTTTGTTTGTTTGTTTATTTTTGTGGTACCGGAGATCGAACTCAGGTCCTTGCGCTTGCGAGGTAGGCCACCGAACCACTGAGCTAAATCCCCAGCCCTCAATATCAAAATGTTTTTAAGGTGTGACTTGTTTAAAATTTCGTGGTAAATACTTGGAGCGTATACGTAAAGATTGGGTGCATTACCCAATAACCTTCTAGATAACATTTGAGACGAATAGTTTTTGTATGTATGGCATTCCAAGCACACACAGACATATTATTACTCCACTTAGTTTCACACACACCCTGTGAAAGAGGTTGACAGGGAATTTATTCAAAACTAGGTGACATAGAAGGCCATGGCTATTATTCTACAGCAAGTGAGCCTGGAACCTGCTGCTTGTCCAGGACTGTGTCCTCTAATCATGTAATTTATATATAAATGAACACATTAATCCTAGAATTTCTTATAGCTCAATAAAAGCAAGTTACAGGACTGTACATGCATGATAATAGCAGAGACTACAAATGGAGATACCAGCTATTTTCTATCAGTACACAAAGAAATAGATAGAAGTGCTACTGTTACATGTGCTCATCTGTGGTGCAGGTCGAAGCTGGGCTTGGAGGGGAGAGGGGCTTCTGGTGGGAAATTAGGCTTTCCTTAAATATAGTCTCAATACATCCATGTGTGTTTTGTGCAGTTAAAATTTTTTAAACTTTAAGGAATACACAGGCAGACTGCGGGGTCACTGAACTATAGCTGCGAAGAGGAGGAAAAGTAAGACAGAGTGACCGTTGTCTTGTGACTAAAAACAGGTCATCAGGCTGTCTCTGGAATCTCCATGTAATATTTTTTGTCACCTGTTTTGACCTCCTAGTTGCCAGAAACGAAGGACTGAAAGTAGGCATCTTTTCAGAATCCTCTCACTCGCTCCGTTTGGGGAAGCGCTTAGCCGGGGAGAGCTGGCTCTCCTGCGCTGTTGGGTAACACGCCAAGCAGTCGAAGAGGGGACTGTTGGTTTCATCACAATGGCCCTGATAAATTAAAAAGTAATAAATTCAGCTGAACATCACGGGTATGTTCTTGCAAATCTGAGCTGTTTAATTGTCTGTGGTCCCACTGGTATTTCCTCTGGGATTTATTCAGAGTGAGTCCCACTCACTCCACCCTCCTGGACCGTAGCCTCTGATTTGCAAAAGCTGAAAACATAACTTTTCACAGAAGCTTGTTATTTCTTCTTTCAGAGTTTACCCAGCTCAGAAGTGGGGTCGGTCTGCAGTGTCCCTTGCCCTTTGCATGTGATCCTTTACAAAATCTAGCCACTCCAGCCCTTAATTCCTGGTGAATAAGATAATATCCATTGCTGGGCGAGGTTCTGGAGATGGAATTGTTTGGCAAAAGGCCTCTCTGACTGAAAACTAAATGCTGCCCTTGGGACCAATGGACTGTATCGGTCTGTCTGTGTGAATTTCAGTTTCCTCTCTCAACTAACCAACTTCATGTCTGAAATGTCAAAGAAGCTCCCAGGTTTTTCTCTGACTTTTCTGGCTCACACTTTTGCTCCACTGCCTCATGACTGGTCATCTTCATTTTTTTACCAAGTCAGCTAACAGACAGGCAGCTCTGATGTGCTTTTCTGAGATACACATTCATAGTGCGGGGATACGCTCCACTGTGTGAGAGCAGTGATGTGATAGTAATAACAGGGACAGTCACCCTTCGGGGAGCCTTCCTGTGGTTCCATCATCACACCATGCAAATTCTCGCTTGGCTTTGCGGGAATCTTGCAAGGTAGGTAGGTGTCATTATCCGCTCTCAATGCATGAAGAAACTGAGATGTGGGAAGGTAAGTAGCTTGCCCAAGAACACAGGGTGAAGGAAGAATTTATGCAGAAGATAAACCTGCCTAATAGTAAATCTCAGAGAAACACGTTGCTATCAAAATCAGTTCTCTGCGGCATTGTGGTTTCTCCTTAACTTTGGTATGATCTATAGATTGAACAGATATGAATGAACTTACTGAAAGGTACCTATAGTTATTTTGCATGGCATTCTGCTGCCCCGGAGGGCTGTGTTAAGTGCTATTTTTCAGGTGTTCAAAGCAGTCTATCTCCTCATCATGTAAATTTTATCCTAGAAATGGTTCTCTGGAAACTTGAGTGCCACGGGCCTGTTCTTCAGCAGCTAAAATTAATACCAATACACAGTCATTGTACATTCATTGTAACATTTATGACATTGTACAGTTATTATAACACTTATGAATGCAGGCTTTAGAATCAAGCCCAACTCCCTACCAGCTGTTTTGACTTTTGCAAAGTTACTTCATGTACTAAGTTTCATTTTCT